TAGAACAACGATATATGTATACAATTTCGTATTATAAAATTTAAATGACATATAATATCAACTTATTAGAATATTTAACCTTAAACCAAGTCAAAAAACATCCTAATAGCATATTTAAAAACACTGTTATTAAATTCAATGACACAATATTTTGATAGTTCGAAAGAGAAGTTAGAACTGACCAAAACTGATACTTTATTACAGATACTGAAGATGCAAATTCCTTTTCAAGTTTACTCATTGACATGCTGAAAACTATGGGGTTTTCAATAGATGAGATAAAATTAAAGAAATATTCATACACATTTACTTACTATGTGCACCGACTTTTGATACGTAAATAAACTCACCGTAGATACAAGGATTGAAATTTTGTATTTAACGTCGATCATCCAATATACGTTGGTAGTATAGCAGAGGGACTTTTGCCAGGTATTTTCTATGGTGGGAAAAAGCCGGACACTGATGCAATTATACCATTTTTCGAGAAGGTAAATGTGATTCAAAATGAAATAAGGATCTCGCCGGCCGAAATCCGGATAATATTACAAAAACTCGGTTATTCGGTCTGTGCCATCAACGACCCAGAATTCCCGGGTTATGTTAAGCTTCACGTTCCTCATAACATTCAATTCTACACGAATAACTTACATGTTGAACTGAGAAAAAAACTGTCTTCCAAACATAGTTTTGCATGAGCATACTATAAGAAGAAATATGGCCAACGATGAAGACTAAGATCATAATGTATCGAATGAATTTGACTTGAATGGACCGTCAGTAACAGAGAAATGTTATAATCCATCTATCAAAGATCCTGCAAAAGGACCTTCACTAATAAACAACAATATACCTTGTTTGGATTATCATCATTGGCCTAATTTAGCTTATTCCTGGAAACTAAGATACCAGTCAAATGGATGGCTAAATGAAGAAGTTATTAATATGGTGGTTTCTAAACAGTGTTTATTGGCACCAGTTGGATATCACGACAGCGACGGAAAAGAAATTCAATGGCAAATATCTTTTAGAAGAGAGGACTTGATTTTCGAACAGCTAAATAGAATTCAATTATATTGTTGCTTTATACTTTAAATCATCATGAAAGACGATTTAAAACTACAATATCCTCCTATTGTATAAAAAATCTAATTTTGTGGTGTGTAGAAACGGAAAATATCACGTGGAGTCCAGACAATTTTATTGTCTGTCTACAGACATGTCTTTCAAGATTGAAAACATATATAAATAAGAGAAATTTACCTCATTATATTATTCCTGAAAGGAATTTATTCAATTCAAAAATGACACTAGATCTCTCAAAACCATTACAAAATGCGATAGAAAAGTACATTCAAAACATCCGAAATGTAACATCTTAGAGATAATTTGACTGTTGCCGTGATTCATTTTCACACAATGATCAGCTAAAACTTGATACGGAGATATCTTTCATTGCTAGCTACTGTAACATTAAAATACATTCCTTGTTTTCCCACTATAGTGAGACCAATCTTTTCTGGGTAAACTATGACAGAGAAGCTACAGAAAAAAGCATAATTATTTATGAAACTGAACTAAACGGAATAACTGCATCTGGTGATGAAGCAAATTTCAGTTATCTATTTTCTTTGCTTTCAAAAAGTATACTAGGCTTATTATCGTATTCGTACTTTATATAATTAAGAAAAAGAATTGCGATAAATATTTAAAAAATGCGACAATTTATTTTAATCTTACGCTTTCTTCCAATATTTCGTTCCTACAACTCAGATCTGCTTCGTATTTGTTCATGGAAAATAGATTTGACGAATGCATCACCGTATGTGAGAATCTACTGACAAAATATTTAAATGTTATACCAATGAAGAAAACATTTTATTATATCGGTCAAAAAGTATCGGATATTATCGAACTTGCTATGACCGTCAATCAATTTGAACAACTTACAGTTATCCGACAAGCCATGTTAGCTGATGCATATTCCTTAGAAACTGAACGTATTGCTTCACGTGAAAACACTAAAAAAGCTGACATTATGAAAATCGTGGATTCTTCAAACCACCATCTTTATGTAAGGTACATGACCGCGGAATTGATGGCCATCCCCGATGTACTGACGTTTGAATTACTTTCAGTGCCGGTTAAAATGAAGAAACATTATGATAATTATCCGTGTTTCCCAAATTTGACCAAGTTCCTAGGATACGAATGCATCTTATACTGAATTGTTATCTGTTAATGTTCTTAAGTTTTGACGCTAAAGGAGAATTTTCGACGAGAAATACATTATTACGAAAACTGAACTATCTCATAAAAGATAATGTTTTGTTTGACAATGACAATGGAGTTTTTTTCTATTATATTCTTGCTTATTGCAATGGCAAAGCAGATCATAAAAATAAAAGTAGCAAATTATGTAGTAAAATCCTTAAAAATATTTCCGTCGCGACAGAATGCAGCTTTTGAATATCTGAGAAACATTATTCAACATTCAATTGATTGTAATAAAAATAATTGAATAGGATGTCATGGCGCTGTTTAACACAAGTGTATCCTATACATTTGTCCGTGCATATGTGATTATGCACCAAGATTTTGCAATGGGCTAGTATATAAAGCATGTTCTTTTAAACGTTATAGACATCGATGTTAAAGCAAAGACGAAAATACACTGTCATCCTAAATATAATGAAAATAGGCAACGGAAAAGGGGACTCAAGAAGATAAAAAGAAAGAGAAAAAATATCAATTGTCATACGTGGGTTTGTTGCAATAACACTATGTTTGGTTTGTTAATTGCTTTTAACAAATCATGAAAAAATGTTCTGACTTGGAACTCCTGTTGTCAACCCACACACTTCAAAGCATTTACTGCCTCTAAATCTTGTATACATTTTTGTTCGAAATTTATTACTGAAATTTATTAGTTGAAACATTGTTGGAAGTACAACGTGTAATTAAAATTATGTACTTAAAAAACATTATCATGACAGAACAAACATTTGCACGTAAGGCTCTTAGCCATTCACAAGAACCAATACTACATGTTTTTAGACAGCTGAAAAGGCAGTCAAATAATTCTAAAAATAATACCACCTTGATACATATTTCTAAAATATTCGATATTTCTGCTAATAAAACAAATGTTTGTCTATATCTTTTTTAAATCTAGATACTCAGGGGAAAATGTCAAATATTTGGTACGGATGTGTGACTGACTCAAAAATCCATTAAATAAATTACAAATTAAAGTACAGTGTACATCTTGAAACACGCATTTAGGTTTTTCATATCCTTAATATCAGACGTCGACCTATTTTCGACGTTAGACTTCTAGCTTCTAATTTATGGACACCGCAAATTGATAAAGGTTATAACGATGTCGATTTATCTAATAAACAATACAAATATTCAAATGTTTTGTGTTCTACATGTCTGACAATAATATGAAACAATAACTATATTATAAAAGAGAAAACAGTGTTACGGAACCACTGACGGATATGAATCGCTTTGTAATGATAATCTACAATTCAAATCAGTTTGAAACTGACTAATCTAAGGTAATATACTTCCGCTTCAAGTTATCCTGAAAGGATTTTCAACTGTTCAGTTTTGGTATGTTTAAGTTTAAGTACAATGACAAGGTATGTGTTACGTATTTGGCCTTTAAAATCTGTTGTCCCGAGAGACAAGTTATTCCAGAAAAAAAATCTTCACTGTACAATGAATGTTTTCATAACTTAAGCCAATATTAAAGGCGCAAAATGTCAATCAAGAAAGTGCAAAACGATTGTCATGCTGTGTATTCAATTGAAATTTGTTTAAAAAGATTGAAATCAACACCGTATTCTATTAGAAATTTAAAAACTAATCCGATTGATCTGAAAAATTAACTGGAAGTAACAAAACATACAAAAGAAGCTATTTTAATCTAATCTTAAGTTTGAAGAAAATAAATTATTACAATATATAGACCAGATGTTTTGTATGCTATTTTTTTTTTACCACAGAATAGATGTACGAGCATAATGGTTACACCATTCAGTTGAAAAGTGATAATTAACTGCATCAATTCGTTGACACAAACGAACATATGTTTTTCATGTCCCAACATGACAACATGTCTTATGGTAAAAACCTACCACCATATTTTTACGTTCCTATCATTTACTTTTACCATCCGAATTAAAATAAAAAACAGAATCCCCCTTTTAAATCTCAGGTTCAACGTTCATTTTAGTATAAACTTTATTGAAGGATATTGTAGTTCACATCAATGTTTTTGGTTTTATTTTGTGACTTGTAATATTTATTTGTTTCTTGGGTCATGCAGTTACAACAAAATGTGGATTTAACTGGACAGTGATTACTAACGTTTATATCAAAATTAGTGAGTTTTGTTTCACCTCCCTATAGTCGGTCTTTCGTTTGATCAATCCTGACACCTCTCGGTTGGTGTGTTATACGGCAAAAAAAAAAACCTTAAATATGCATTATCTATAACATAAACAACTAACAAAATAATAGAGAAAATAAAGACTGAGCAACACGATATCATAAACATCAATCAATATCTATGTATAAACATCTATTTACATAAAATGCACTTTAATTGAAATTATCGAGAACTGTAAACTGTAAAGAGATTACTAATTTTAAAGCGAATTACAAATCACCAACCGATCTACAATGTTTTGTATGAACACCTGCAGTTTACTTAAATTATTCTTACATTAATACATAACATTCATGTTTAAAATATTCATATAATATTCTTCAACAGTGAACAAAATATGATGCATTGATGCGATTAAGTAAAACGAAGATGTTAAGAGTAATTTCGTGTAACATGTTTGCCTGTTTTTATTTCCTGGATATGTCCACTGTATGCTAATGATGTTAAAATGAACATTTAAAACCCCGATTTCCATTCAAATCAGGTTTTTATTTCCTGTTCGTATAATATATAACTGCCTCAACGATCCTACAACCACATCGGCGGGATATTATGCAAACCACATTCTATCAAATAAACCAATGCAGGCATTAAATAAGTAGACTACAAATCTGTCAAGATGGTCATGACATTATTGGCAATTATCACTGTGTTAGCATGCATGATCAGTGATGTACAAGGGTGTAAATGTAGAGGATTTCAACATTTTCAGAGACATTTTTGCTCATCCAAGTATGGTAAGTTTAAGAAAAGAGGTATGCACCATCTCATTTTACTGTCTTCAGGTTTTGTATTTTTACGTCTTTGTTCAAATTTATATTAAACGCACGTGTTTTCTAAATAATTATCCTTTTTTTTAAAATGAAAGATGGTGCCACAAACAGACAATTTTGTTTAGTTTCCATAAGCCATTTCTTTTTAGATATATAAATATCTATATAATTATATATATTGGTATGTTCAATATATCATATACTATGATAAAATCACAATCAAGTATGATATCAGTCAACAAAGGCGGATTAATGTTTAAACAAATAATTTCAAAGTTAAATGCCATCAATTTCATCGTACTTACGTCATTGTACATGCAAAATTATATTTATTTCACCATTGCCTTTTATGATATTTTTTTGGTATCATAACATCAGCTGCTTGAAAAAAAAAATCAATCAATAAATAAATATTGAGAATAAAAAGCGCCATGTAGTCATATTCTCAAAAGTGTAAATACTATTGGATTCTGAAACGACCAAATAAAGGCAACCAAAGTATACCGCTGTTCAATAGTCATAAATCGATTAAGCGAAAACTAATCCAGGTTACAAATTAAAACCGAGGAAAACACATTGACTATAAGAGGAAATCAAAAGAACAACAGAATCACTGAACTGCAACAAAAGTAAACGCCAACATACATTGAAACAGTCTATTTGATAACAACAGCCGTATTCATGACTTGGTTCAGGATATTTTAAGAAAATATGATGGGTTGAACATAGTTTTATGGCAAGCCAAACCTCCTGCTTTATAAAACCTCAACAAAAAACCGTACAGTATTACATGTAAATAAAGGAGTATAATTTTCTGCTTATAAACGGAGTTAGGTCTTTAACATTTAATTACAATATAATATAAAATTCTAAACAATACGGGCTCATCACTTCATATTAGCAATTCCACTTGAACATGTTGAAGATTGGTGGTTCTTTATAGGAACTAATTATTCTTTCAAAATGGACAATCCGTATTTTGTTTCAGAAATGAGGATGAGTTCAAAATATTGAATTATTGATTCATACAAAAATGGAATAAACAGTGTAAAAACACCATCTTCATTCGGAATGCTAGGAGTGGCATCATTGTTAAGTGTCTTACCTCCACTTCACTTGTCTCTGGTGGATAGTTGTCCCATAGACAATCATATCACATCTCCTTATTATAATGAGGTTTTGGCACATGTTTTTTTTTGGCTTATCTTTTGTTGGTGTCGGGATGACTTTACATATATATATATACATCTAACATCTACTTCATACAAGTTTTAAAATATAAAACTAGCTATAGGTGCTATAGTTATATAACACAATATATTAATTGATTGATTGATTTTTGGTGGAGTGTCTTTTTTAACACTATTGTCAATGTCATGGCGCCTAGTTTTTATATTGTGGAAAGCGTCGGGGTACCACCGGTCTTTGTCTGGAAGACTTGCAATCATAGTCAACGCAGGACGGAGACTTACGGTGCCATGAGTGGATTCAAACTCAAAACATCATTGTTGAGCTGCTAGTAATTACTGTAGATGAATAACGTTCAGCTCTCAACCACCAATGCCCCTAAAACAATTTTAATATACAAATAGTTCAAAGTTAAGCTTTTGTCAATTAGTATATCTCTTTCATTTCTACGGTTCACCTACACATAATAGGAATTTATCACTATTATGCTGACGATTGTTTATTACAATTGACGTGCATTATTGAATACAACTTGCTTTTCACGAATAAAAACACATAACTGCATAATATATAATTCTTTAGATAATTAAAAGATGTTTCAATAATCAAATCCTCTAAAGATCTAACGCAATGATAATAGTTTGTAAAACATTCATATTAACAGTCATATCAGCCATTATCTTAAAAAAAGCATAATACTAATATACTACTTTTAGTTACTCGCATGGAACTATTATGAACATATGTCAGAAGTTAACTTATGCGTTTTATAGTGAATTGAAAATTACACTTTATCAATTTCGTCTGTCCTACGCGCTTTTTATGGATATATCTTCACCAAGAACGCTCAAACGTAAACATTTGAAAGCCAGGGAAAGTACATAGAAATATTAGGAGCTATAAGAGTAATGATTTCATCTTTGTGTAACGGAGTTGACATTTCATTCCGATATAACATGTTACTTTTATTATTCTTCCCTTAGTTTATTTATTTTGTATTTGCATTGTATCATAGGTCAAATTTATTTGTTCAATGTATGTTCACTCGAGTTAATATGTCCTTTGATTGAGTTAAGCTATTTCAGTTGATATTTTATAGTGTGTCTTTCTATGTTGTGATGTTACACTATTGTTTCAGAAAAAAGGTGAAGGTTTGTTTGCACCTGTCCTAAGTCAGGAATCTGATGATCAGTAGTTTTCGTTTGTTGATGTGGTTCATAAGTGTTTCTCGTTTCTCGTTTTTTATATAGATTAGACCGTTGGTTTTCCAGTTTGAATGGTTTTAGACTAGTAATTTTTGGGGCTTACTGTTCGGTGTGAGCCAAGGCTCCGTGTTGAAGACCGTACTTTGACCTATAATGGTTTAATTTTATAAATTTTGACTTGGATGGAGAGTTGTCTCATTGGCACTCATACAACATCTTCTTATATCTATTGAAACCATATTTACATAATAATTTCTTAATCAATCAAGTGTGAAATAGTTTTTATAAATTATGTCAGTGCAAAGAATCTGCTTACTTAGTTTTTGATACAGTTCATCAGCAGGATTATTGACACAGTTCACCAGCAGGATTATTGATACAGTTCACCAGCAGGATTATTGACACAGTTCACCAGCAGGATTATTGATACAGTTCATCAGCAGGATTATTGATACAGTTCATCAGCAGGATTATTGACACAGTTCACCAGCAGGATTATTGATACAGTTCATCAGCAGGATTATTGACACAGTTCACCAGCAGGATTATTGATACAGTTCATCAGCAGGATTATTGACACAGTTCATCAGCAGGATTATTGATACAGTTCACCAGCAGGATTATTGACACAGTTCATCAGCAGGATTATTGACACAGTTTACCAGCAGGATTATTGATACAGTTCACCAGCAGGATTATTGACACAGTTCACCAGCAGGATTATTGATACAGTTCATCAGCAGGATTATTGATACAGTTCATCAGCAGGATTATTGACACAGTTCACCAGCAGGATTATTGATACAGTTCATCAGCAGGATTATTGACACAGTTCACCAGCAGGATTATTGATACAGTTCATCAGCAGGATTATTGACACAGTTCATCAGCAGGATTATTGATACAGTTCACCAGCAGGATTATTGACACAGTTCATCAGCAGGATTATTGACACAGTTTACCAGCAGGATTATTGATACAGTTCATTAGCAGGAATATTGACACAGTTCATCAGCAGGATTATTGATACAGAGGATTATTGACACAGTTCACCAGCAGGATTATTGACACAGTTCATCAGCAGGATTATTGACACAGTTCATCAGCAGGATGATTGACACAGTTCACCATCAGGATTATTGACACAGTTCACCATCAGGATTATTGACACAGTTCACCAGCAGGATTATTGACACAGTTCACCAGCAGGATTATTGACACAGTTCACCAGCAGGATTATTGACACAGTTCATCAGCAGGATTATTGACACAGTTCATCAGCAGGATTATTGACACAGTTCATCAGCAGGATTATTGATACAGTTCATCAGCAGGATTATTGACACAGTTCACCAGCAGGATTATTGATACAGTTCATCAGCAGGATTATTGACACAGTTCATCAGCAGGATTATTGACACAGTTCATCAGCAGGATTATTGACACAGTTCATCAGCAGGATTATTGATACAGTTCATCAGCAGGATTAATGACACAGTTCACCAGCAGGATTATTGATACAGTTCATCAGCAGGATTATTGACACAGTTCACCAGCAGGATTATTGACACAGTTCATCAGCAGGATTATTGATACAGTTCTAGTAAATGAAAATGACACTTTATAAGTTTCGTGCATCTGAATAAAATTGAGAATGGAAATGGGGAATGTGTTAAAGAGACAACAACCCGACCATAGAGCAGACACCAGCCGAAGGCCACCAATGGGTCTTCAATGCAGCGAGAAACTCCCGCACCCGGAGGCGTCCTGAAGCACGTTTTGGAATTTGCTTTTAACAGAAACGCTCAAACAAAAACAATTGTAAGCAAGGGATATGTAAAAACGTAGAAATGATATGAACTATATGGCCAACATGGACTTTCATTTACTTACCCAATAGAGAAACCAGACAGCAGTTGTCTTAAGTCATTGAAAGTGAAATATTATGTTGAAATTCCTCAATGAATGAGCACATCGGGTTTTCTTTATGTAATTGACGAATACCTCACGTCTTTTCCTCTATTTTTCTTTATCGTGTTCTTAGTTTAATTGAAACATTAATAAAACAAATAATGAAGATACCAGTCCTATAATTGTGTATGCCGGACGTGCTATTCGTCTACAAGACTCATCAGTGACGCTAGAAGAAAAAAAAATTAAAGGGCCAAATAAAAAAACAAGTTAAAGAGCATATTTTGAGAGCCCAAAGTTCCGAAAAATTTTGCCAAATACAGCTAAGGTAATCTATTCCACGGGTAGAAATCGAACGTCAAACTTTGAACAATTCGAAGATTTGTAAACAATAGATTCTTCGTTTTTATTTTTGAATCTGAATCACAGTCATAGCAAAAAAAAAAAATTCTGCATCATTCAGCAGTTCAAATTTTAATATTTGTTTTAAGATTGATTAATACTTTGGAAAAAACAGCAGCACATTTTACACAATATGAACGTTCTTTTCAGTTTTATATGGCAGAGTTATAACAGAAAAATCAGTAGAACGCGGGTCTGACCTTTTAAGGAGATATACAATTCGCATATTGTATAAAATGAAGGTATGAATACGCATTGTTCATGTTTTTTGAATATTGAAAAAAAGTATAATTTTCTCATAAATTCGTTTGAATAAAATGTCAACAGATGAAGAAACAACTACATAAATTCAATGCACAATACATAAGCATATTAAGGAAGCTGATAGGGTAGACGGTGTTTTTTCGTACGACAGATGACAAGAATCTTGAGTTTGCTGTTCAAATACAGCAAATCTTGTTTGTTTCTAGTGTGGATAATGTATAGTTTCTGTTGCACCAATTAATTATCCTTGGAAATGATAATTAGGTATCGTGTCATATGTACACAAGAATCTACGATCATCGATTGAAGACAAAAAAAAACAAAAACAATGTTCAAAAAGACAAACGAAGAAAACACCGCAAAAAAAAATTCTTAAAATAGTAAACAGAAGCATTAATCTACAAATATCAAATAGAAAAAAAAAATACATTGCGAAATCTGAAGTGATTAAAAAACCTCTTGTTATATGATAAGCAGTTCCTACACAAATTCAAAGAATCCATTTCACAATGAAGTTTGAAAAATAGTTTTAAAAAGTTTTGATGATGTTAAAGGGATATACTTTTATAATGCAGGGAGTGAGTGAAAGTGTTGGCTCAGAGGTAGATATCGAGACACCAAATCAATCGGCAAGTTGTGGCGTTAAATTGGAAGTCGGAAATTCATATATCTTAATGGGTAAAACTGTAAAATACATTGCGTGTTGACTTCTAACATATCATTTAGATCATGTCTTCAAAATTTAACGAATTATCATTGCAAAAAAATATGTCGAAAGAAGAAAGACCAAACAACGTGAAAATCATATATCAAAAGGATCATGCAATGGACGTAATTAAAAATAAACGAAAAGTATAATTGTATTTGTGGAACTTTCATTGTGAAATATATAGATTCAAAACTTATTTCTGCATATTTAGTGTTCTTCACTTCAAATGCACTTATTTCATCTTGTTTTGATAAATCGCTTTGGTTAGTTTAACTCTCATATGCACTGTTAATATGTAGGTGGCTTTTAATTCTATAAGCACAACAGAAATATTGATTAACCCAACCTAATATTTTGCCGCATAAGTGATAGATTTTGAAATTTGCAATGAAAATTTTTTTCTCGTGTATGCAATATTTTATAAATGTTATAGTGATACTTTGATCCATTATTTAATTACTTGGTGAGAAAATAGTGTGATTGAAAATTGAAAAAAACCTTGTATGTCTGAAGGATAATAATCATTTTTTTTCTTTAGTCAGATTCTGACTTTCTTTTACTGTTATGTAGATTAAGACAATGCCACATTGTACAGTTCGTTATAATGATATTTTTGAGGTTTGGATTGGGGTAAAACAAGTCATATATACCCCTGGCAGGTATTCGGAATATATACTGACATTTCTTTAGTTTAATAAAGGTTATAAGCAGTAGGCAAATAAAAAATGACGTCGAAAAGCTTTAAAAACCGAAAACGCTAAGCATTCGTGACACAAAACTCAATGTCTCAAATAGTTCAACTATTTAGACGCAGTATATTGACCGAAAATGAACATATCAAGGATACTCCGTGTCAACCAAAAAGTTCAAATAATTGGGCTTGCGATACTTTTAGGGCCGAAACATACTCTGGCAGTGAGATCGATCCAGTGGTTGTAAAACCTCACCAGAGATACAAGCCTTGCAACTTATTACAGCAAATGCACATGTCGTCTTCATCGGACTCATCAGTGGCGCTTGAATCAAAACAGTCGAATGGTCAAATCACAAACCAAGTTGAAGAACATTCTTGTACGACGACTAAACCAATCTATACCTGGTTTAAGAAAAACCTACAGACAAACAACAACATATTCTCCACAACATCAGCGGACTAATTTTGTTTTTTCGAACGGATGAGTCGTCTCTTGTTTACTACATGTGCACCCGTGGCTGTCGTTTAGACAACATACTTTCGATAAATGTCATATTTTGTTTAACTAAAGGAACCGAACAAGCGGATGGAACGAAAACAATAATTTCATGCGATTTTCCAACACACCTGGGTAGTCTTTCCCCTTACCAAGCCTTTTACATGTTTACAAGTGGACCCTTTTCGTACAAGTTAAACTGTAGAAGAGGATGCAACGTAAGTGAAAATTATTTATAGAGAAATACTGTATAATTGAAATCATTTTTGTTTATTTATTTCTAAATTATATGAAGTGAAATACCAAGTATGCATTAACAATGATAATCGACTAATCAGTTTCATGTTTAAATGTAATCAAATAGATTTTATTGAAAATGCCTCTCGTGAAATTAAATAATAATCCTTGATTTATCAAAATCAAAATACGTTTAGAATGTTTGCGGTCAATTGAAAACTAAAATGCCTCCGAAAAGAAGTAGGCTATCTACGATAGCAGATTTCCTAGGCTTACGCTTTTGGCAAACTGTGACTAAGCCATTCCAACACATCTGTTATGTCGGATGCAGTATTTCCGTTTGCAGGACTATGAATTACTAAGTTTCAAAATCAGCCCAGAAATAATTGACATGCTAATAAGTCTAAATAAGAACATATTCGAGTCACCCAATGGTGACCCTAAGTGAATGATAAAAATGGATCAATTAGTTATAATTATCACTTCTGTGGTAATCATGCATTACATGTGTTTTCTTTACGATTACCAAAACTGTTCTGATTTGACTTTGTCAGCATTTTTCAATTAGGTGTATATTAACTGATTGATTAGATGTTTGTCGGCATAATAAGTACAAATGAGAGGTTTAGCTAGCTAAAACCAGGTTCAATCCACCATGGTCTACATAAGAAAATGCCTGTACCAAGTCAGGAATATGAAAGTTGTTTTTCATTCGTTTGATGTGTTTGCGCTTTTGATTTTGCCATTTGATAAAGGACTTTCCGTTTTAAATTTTCCTTGGAGTTCGGAATTTATAACCATGATGACTAGGGATTTCAAATTGGTGAAGAATAACTTCACCGATTTGAAATCACTAGTTATCATGGTTATAACTTATATAACGTTATTGGAATAATGTATCGTATCTGTTTAAAGCATTCCAGCAGTTGAATCAAGTATTTGAAAGTGTAAGTCCTTTTTTCAGTTCAGACATTTTGACCTTTGAATAAAATAGTAAAGTTGCACAGTTTTAGTAGTGAAAGGAGTTCCTCTAGGAAATCGCATTGTCTATATTAACCGAATTCTAACCTATGATGACGAAAAATTCCCCTCAAAATTAAGTTAGAATTCGACTTCTTCTGTTATTGTTGTCATTCCCGAAATAAATACAAAATACACTACTTTTGAAAATAAATAAAACTGTTAAAATAATAATGTTCAGTTAATTAACAGCGTTATAGAGGTTATCTTTAGTATTCTCCAAAAAAGACTTGGTAAAACAATAAACAAAAAAAAAAAAACAAAAAAAAAAAAAAACACTGACAAATTGTAGTAGGTGCTCTGGAAGAGCGAGCATATCCTGGCCCACATGTTGCATCCGTCGTGTTGCTTATGGCAAGTATAAGTGTAAAAATAAGGTGATGTGATATGATTGCAAATAAGACAAATATCTATCAAAGTTCAATTGATGTGGATGTAAGCAATTATAGGCAATCTTTCGACTTCAACAATGAGAAAAACATACACATCGTAATGTCGGCTATAAAAGTCCCCGGCATTACAAATTAGGTCAGTTTTCAATCTCATAAGTAAATTTCATTTGCCAATTGGATGATAACAAATAGGATAGTTGTCGTTATATTAATTAATACAAAAAATCACAAAGATATAAACACATATTAAAATTCATATTCAACTGGTTTATAATGTTGAAGAAGAAAAGGGATCTGCCTACAAGCTGTCCAATATGAACAAGAACTGACTTTTATTCATATACATTTGGTCTTTTTCAGAAAATCGACGAACAGTCAGAAGGATGCAAACTTGACCGAATAGGAAATGAACTTACAGCCTGCCTTTCAAAGCATGCATTGTGTAAGAAACAAGGAAGAACATGTGTTTGGTTTCATAATAATAAATGTTAGCTACATAACATACTCAATACTTAAAAACCTAACCTATTTGTTAAATAAAAGTTGAATCCTTTAAGTTGTTTTGTTCATCATGAGTAGCTTCTTGTCCGACTATTTGTTTTATTGTGCAATCTGGTTCACGCTGAGCAACCGTGTTATCGCTGTATTACAAATCAGACAACTATCTACATGTTTTTAAATACTACTTATTTTATGTTTATTCGTTACGGTAGTAATTTTTATACTTAAAAAGGAAAAATAAATGTTCTTCTCGTTCGTTTGATGTGTTTTATAATTTGATTTTGCCATTTGATTAGGGACTTTCCGTTTTGTATTTTCCTCGGAGTTCAGTATTTTTGTGATTTTACTTTTTCTCCATACATGGTAAAGGAATGTAAACATGGTAAAACTATTTCAGAAGTTGTCTGATATTGTATCTTTCACTGTGCAGTAACATACTAACAATATTTGTCTTTATCAAATGCACGACCGTGGTTTACCAATTTCCTAATTTATTGAGGATAATTGACTACGTTTTAAATCACAATGCAATTCTGACTGATGATTCATGACCTCAGCTTAACACAGATAATATAAAAGACATTAATGCAATCTATTTGGTTGTACAAATATAAAGACATGTAAAAGATTGAAAACATATCATTTTCGAATCAGAAACTTGAAATTGTAGATTAAAGAATACCATTAAACACGTTGAATTAAAATTATGCTAAATTTCCAGGTTTATAACATACTGTCATTGTAGAATTGGAAATTTTGTAAACGTAATATACAAAATGCTATTTCGAACAAATTAATTTGTAAAACATTTTTTGTGTAAGTAATCAGTATTTTCATACGCACATTTTCTATCAGATGGTATAGATATGTGTCCAATAAGCAGCCAACTTTATGATTGATTCACAAATATTGATACTTTAACTACACATTAAGCACGGTCCTCTGTAGTATATATCCTCATGTAAAAAAGGACACCATCATTTATATTTGATTGAAAGTTGTACTTGTTCCTGATTCAAAGACCCCCAAATATTTTATGCGAGAATCTTTTGAAAAAAACATTTAACATGTTTAAATATCATAACAAAGAAAAAACTTTTATTTATTATATCGTTCAAAAAGTAAAGAGTTTTATCGAACTTGCTGTGGTCGTCAATCAATTGAACAACTTACCGTTATCCGACAAGCCATGCTAGCTGGTGCATAATCCATAAAAAATGAACTTATTTATTGAAATGAAAACCCTAAAGAAGCTGTTATTATGAAAATTGTGGATTCGTCAAGCCCCCATTTTTATGTTAGATACATGACCGCGGAAAATGTGGGCTGTCCCTAATGTAATGAAGTTTGATTAACTTTCACTGCCGTTTTAATTGAAGAAACATTCTGCTAATTATTTATATGACCAAAATAGAACTAAAATAATTAGCAAAAAAAACCAGCTTACGTTAATGTTTCTTGAAGGATTGGAACCTGAGTTTGTAAATACTTTCGTTATCATTCATCAGGGCACTTTGAATTATTATATGCATGTTATAAATATTATTAGTACCATATCACTGACTACTAAGCTGGTGAAACCATCGGGAACTTGCAGTCTACTAGCAGAGGTTTGAACCAAGTGCTAGGAAATGTGACCGTAATGTAATAGTCCTGAAAATGACGTTAAACACCAAACAATCAATCAATCTGACCTTTGCTTTGTTGTTTTTCTGTGGTTTTCTCAATATTATGTATTTCCTTATTATAAAAAGACATTTGTGTTACCTTTACAGTTTTTGAAACTGGAAATGGAAATGCATCACATGCAGTCTTACAAAACAAATGAGTTCATCACGGTTTACTAAAATTGCCATTGATATTATTGATTTACATGTTTTTTTTTTAATTTAATTTGTTTTTGCAGATTCTGGTTTTTAGACTAAATCATTAGTCTCTTTCAAGGTTTGTATTGTCATAAGTAGCTCTTCAACTTACAATTAATGTGCTTTTATTAGTTTAAAGCCATATGACGCCTTCATAACATATTTTGTTTTCTAATTGATGATTGTTTTGCTAAATTAGTCTACAAATGTATGTTAAAGGAGGTGTCTATAATGTTTAACTAAATGTATCGTCTATATGATTAGCTATTTTTAATGAAATCATTCATTGCTTTTAAGCATGTAACTTTCGTAAGGTCTTAAAATAGGACGAATATTAGCCGAATATCTATTTAGTTCTGTTTCCAATTCTTATGTGTAATTTAACCAGTCTCCGTACGTCCTAGGAACTGAAAAAGAAATATAAATTTTAAGTTTTAAATCAAAAATCAATTTAAACACTAGTTTTAAGCGTAAGTCTCCAAATTGTTAAAAACTGTTTTTTTAACATAGTTTTTTCAATACAATGATCTGCATTTTACAGCTGATGGTTACTTTAAAGTCACCTCCGTCCTTTATACGGACGCAAACAAAAATATGCACAATTTGGTTGACATTTACGGAATAATTGCGTCACATCAAATCACGTTTAACGTTCCTCCTTAATGTCGGTATCAGCAAATGATTCTTATCGTCTAATTTTTTTCATAGTAGTCATGAACAAAACGATGGGTGCCATTATTTGAGCAGAAACGTTTTTAACTTCTGGAGCACCTTAGTTCATACATAGTGTTTTCCTGATCTTTAAAGCGTTTTTGTAAACTATAAATAAGATTGTTAACATTTTTCAACGACAACAGTGGTATTGTGTATCTTTCTAAATTATAAATCTGTTGGCTCTTCATATTTTCTTTCTTTATGTATAACTTAATAAATATAAATCGCACATAGTATTATATCAGTTGGTAGATGTATAATAATAAACTAAAATTTCCTTCAGCTCCCTCTCGCATGATTCGATTGCAGTAGTCCGACCATTTTAGATTTTTTGATTGGGTCTTTTTTCCTGACAATACATTATAGTAAAAACAAAACTGTCTTTATAGGAAGATGTGCATGATTATGGCTTCTAAATACAATCTCTTTGGCTACACAACTTCCGAAAAGCAGCATGGAGATTATTTCTTACAACCAATGAGAAACTAAGACAACAACTATTTTAATGATCGATAACGACTACAGAGATACAACGATAAAGCATATTTGATTTTGCAACACAACAACTCATTTTTTCAAATAAAAATTAAGTTAAAGATGAAAATTGAACTGAAAATGTTTAACCCGACAAAACTTTGATACACAGCAGTTTCTTTAGAGTATATTGGCAGATTTTACAGTAAATAACACAACATATTTTGCTCATAAATATTTTATGACTTTTTATGTCTTGTTGGCATGTGTAGAATAAAATCATCTAAGAAAATAAGCAGTATATGTTAATATATATCTTTAGATTCTAAAATGGCCTGTATCTAAGTGTATAACTCAGTATTTGTAAAAATGTTGTCACCATATTTGCCTTTGCTTTATTTCAGAAACGTTTACACAACAGTACATAATAAAGGTCATAAAAAGAGGGAGATTTTGCGCACGCTACACTGGTTTAACTCCATCAAATGCTGTGCCTGTACCACATCGAGCTCAATTTACCCAGTGTCGTTATTTATTGTTAGTCTTTGTTTATATGTTTTCTTTTCTTTCTTTTTGTTTGTGGTTCCTCTTATCCTTTTGGTGTATTATTTAAACCTGTCGCATCATTCCTATTGATTTAAGCATGATACAGCTGCTAAACAGTTTTTGCGGTAAATATTGATGACAAATATCTTGAGATTGGCTTATTTCTTTTATCACCATTCGCATGATTGCTTTTTTTTTTATAAAATCACTCCTTGGTTCCATAGCAAAATCTTATACAGGAAGGAACTTTTAACATTATTATGTTACAATGAGATAGGATCTTCAACAGACAATTGATGATCCGAGAGCAAAATTAATGAAGTAGGGCATTCCTTTAATGTAATAAAAAGTAAAATAACAAAACTTTTTCATTTTTGGTAATATCATTTTTGCGTGACTCTGTACTTATTTATCCGGCCATTGTGTTATTGTCCCATGATCATTTTTTGTATTCTTGTCTTTCATTTTTGCTTATTTACTTTGCATTTTGTTTTTCTTTGTTGACATATTTGTTTGTTTTTATAGTGATTAAGATTATAACACAATGTTGACTGTACCCTTATTTTTGATTTTTTTTTCTGTTTTGTCTGTTTGTTTTGTTTACACATTGTTGTCAATATAATGGAATTTTATGCGACTGATATAAAAGTGAGAGGTTTAGCCATATTTTATTCACCATTTTCTACACATCGAAATGCCTGTACCAAGTCAGGAATATGACAGTTGTTTTCCATTCGTTTAAATTGTTTGAGCTTTTGATTTTGCCATTTGATAAGGGACGTTCTGTTTTAAATTTTCCTTGTAGGTCGGTATTTTTGTTATTTTACTTTTACCATAAATGGACTTAACATTAAAGGTTAATGATATACAAAGGCAAATAATAGAACACTATAAAACGAAGTTGGTATATTGCTACTACGGTTAGGGAAATTAATAATTTCAAAATTAAAATTCGTTTGTCATAGATTCTGGTACTGAGATGACCGTTAATGTAAAATTCGACATATAAGTCTAAAAATGGGGCGGAGGAAGCCGTGTCTGTTGTTTCTTTAGTTTCTAGTTCTTGAGTAAATTTTAATGGAACCCAATCATATTAACAGCACTTTTCTCAAAAATATTTTAAAGAATAGTATACTAATTTTGGCACAAGTTTTATCAAAATTATAGAAAACTTCAGTATCACTAGCTCACCATATAGGCATATTTATGCTACGGGGAGTTGAATTAATTTTAACAGCTTTATACGTAGTCATTTTGTACTTTTTCAAATTGGACCAAATAACAACTTTACTATAGTAGTCATGTCTTATATCTAAAACAAATGCATTGTTATCCCCTATTGTCTATTTTATGAATATAATATGAACAATATATTGTCCACACTAGGAGCTATATTTGTAGACAAATTAGACCAAATAACAATTTTATTATAATAATATTAATGTCCAAAATTTTAAAAGACT